AACATTTTGTCGAAAAACCGTTAACAAATATGTTTCCCGTATGGGGATGACACTGTATATCATTCGTACTTATTTTCAGGGAGTTCTGAGAGTTCACGTCATCGAAGCAAAGAATTTGTTGAAAAAAGACATAACATTTACTTGCAAGGGAACATCCGATCCGTATACTCTGCTTGTCGTGGGAGAACAGACGTATAAAACTGAAACTGTAGAGTGTTCAGTGAATCCAAAATGGGATTACTGGTGCGAGGTAATCATCATAAGTAGTGTGTATTTTGAAAGTTTTTTGATTTGAAGTGGTTCACGACCAAATATGAAATTGTTATAAAAAACTGTTCAATCTAGAAATCAAAGGACTTTTTGTGAATGTGATTTAATCAACAACATTCTAATTTTCCATTGACCTTTTGTGGGTACTTTCACCTTCCACAATATGAAAAACATGAACTTTATACACGTGTAGAAAGGGCAAATTTTTCAGTTCACCGCGACAGATTACTGCGTAAATTCAAAATAGTTTCTGCAAAAAATAATTTTCAGTAACTTGTATTCAGTAATTTTGACTATCAGAAAAAGAGCTGAAAAATTATATAGATAATAATAAGCAGCGTCGTGGTGACAATATAAACAATGTACAAAAATAGAGCAGTTTCTTGAAACTACAATAAAGCTGAAGCTGTTGATATTGTTACTTAACCAAGTTACTTAACGCTAACTCATTAATAAGAAGGGTGCAACTCTTCAAAAATGTAATAATATTGTAACGAGTATAATACCCCAATAATCTAAAATACGTATATCTACACGCATACATATGCGTACCGATACAAATATTTACCTATACAGTGTGTAATAACGAAAACTTAACAAAGCCGTTTTTGAATATGAAAAGTAGGATTTTTTAAAAAAGCTCGGACACATCGATTTCTAATTAAAAGGGGACACCTTTCAGACTAATCAGATTTTTTGTAGCACGCACCCCTCGGAGGGGTGCTGTCTCAAAAATGAGAACATCCGCATCATCTCTGGCCTGTTTAGTGTTGATGTCAACAACTTATAATTTTTCAATAACATAGAAAGGTTCGTACGACATAATAGGGGCCCGGCTTACAGGTATACATTTTAAAGTTATAAAAGAATTTCAGAGTTTAGAAATTTTAAACAAGATTTACTAAAGTATTTTCTACTTAAAATGCAATTACCGTAAAAGAGAATACAATCAAAATGTAATCAAAGTATATCCCTTTATGATTTTTTGAAATACAGGAATAAATTACATTATTGAATTCATAGATGAATTCATTAATGAAAAATTATTCAAATATAATGTATTTGTTAATAAAAAATGAAAATTATTTATAATTATTCATTAAGTAATAATTTATAAACCTTAAATGAGCTGATTTCGATCGGGACAACCAGTTGATTTCAAATAATATTTAATCTGCGCTCGCGCTGCCCTCTATCTCAAAAACGATTCAACGTATGAAAAAATGTTTGAAACAAAAGTTGTAGAGAATTCAATTCTCTACAATATTGATAATAAATACAATTAGCATAAAACCCATTGGAAACGAGATATTGGCAAAAAACCTGCAAAAAGTCGGTTTTTTTGACTTTTGACCCCCATTTTTTGAAGTTGCGGCCGTCGAATCATATGTGAATTTTGAGAATACTTTCATGGTGCCAAAATATAAAGTTTATACAAACTCACAGCTGGGTATGCCAACTTTCCGAAATACAGGCCTAAATCGACCTAAAATGACTGGACAATCAGGAAACTATCATGCTAACACTATTGGTAAAGATTCCAACCGTCAGTGTTGTCATACCTGGTACCAAGGAGGGAGAATTGAAGAAGACTGATACATGATAATTTATTGTTTCTTGATGAATCAAGTTTTCCAGGCCACAAAATACCATGAAAAATAATATATGAAAAATCAAATAAGACAGCAACCATCAAACGTAAAAAAATACAAAAAATAATTTCCTTTCTTTTGTTTCATGAATGCTCTCATACTTTGACAGTGGAGTTGGATATCAAAAATAAAAAATCAAAATCAATGTTTATAAACGCTTTATCTACCACAACTATGTTGATTGATACAAACAACTATTCCAATATTTTTCCACTTGTTTCCTATATATTTCAAACCAATTTTCTTCACAGTTCATTATACTCGAATCAACTGGACAAGAACTCCATATCGATGTCTGGGATGAGGATCCTACCGAAGATGAGTTTCTGGGAAGGTATGTATCATAAGAATTCTCAAAAATTCTTTGTAAAAGCTACAACGAAGTTTTTTTTCTTCAGGGTTTTAGTGGACATCGCGTATCTAATCAAAACAGGACAAAGCGACTTGGTATGTCATTTTTTAGAACGTTATTTGAATAATTATTTATTATTGTTTGTGGTAAGACGACATTTCATTGGTCCAGAATTAATATACAGGGTGTTTGGTAGCTGTGTGCAAACCTTTAAGGGGATGATACACNATTTAAAAAACCGGACATTTCTGTTAAGATTCGAAGTTATTAGCATTTAATTGACCAATTTTGGGTTTTTGTACTAAAAATCGTAAAAGTTCCCTCAAAAATAAAAAACGCGCTAGAAAATAAAAATGTTTGTATGAATATGTTCTACATGGGCTAGTGTATCACCCCCCTAAAGGTTTGCACCCAGCTACCAAACACCCTGTATAATGCTAAAGCACAAACTTTACACATTTTCATATGTCCATTATGAAAAAATTAAGAAATATCTATATTGCAGTCTCTCTTCGATGATAACTTCAGCAGAATTATCCACTTACTGTTGTGCATCAGTACTGTATTTGCACTGCAGAGTATTGTTGTTCCTTAGGAGTAAAATAACAGTTTGTTGTGAAACTATTTCATCAGTTAAAGTAACTGAAACCGTGTAAATTCACTGTAGTAGCTTCTACGAGTAGGGTAATGGATCCAGAGCTGATTTTCATGGAAGTGATAGTGTTGTGGATTCTGATTAGATGAAATCAAATGTTGTGATTGGTAAATAATTGAATATTTTGTATTTGTACGAAGATTGCTTGAAATGATATCCATTCTATTTGGTGAATAATCACTATTAAATAATCTAACAAGGTCATCCGTCCATTTCGGAAGAACAGCAAGTGCAAATATTTGGTGAGATGGTCTTAAATCCTGAACAGTCTACTTATTCCGTCGCGAATGTTTGTGAGGTTTCCCCCTGTATAGTGTGGAGACTTTTGAAGAGGAATAGGTATCATCCCTACAAAATTAAAATGGTACACCAATTAACCGAAGATGACCCTGATCGAAGAAAAGAATTATGCTAAATCATGACGGAAACCATTGCAAGGCGTCCTACCTATCTCCACAATATTTGTTTCAATGACGAATGTACATTTTTTCAAACGGCAATGTTTACAGACAAAATTACCGTTATTGAGGTGACACCTACTCTTACGTTCTCTGGGAAACCAGAAAAAATTAACGTTTGGACAGGAATATTGGAAAACTATATTGTAGGACTTCTATTTATTGATAAAAATTCAACAGGGAAACTGTATTTGTATATACTGGAAACTGCTGTTGAACCTCTCATCACTGAAATCGTCGAAGCGAATCCTAATGAATTCGATGTGGATGTTGTATTCCAACAAGACAAGTAAAAAACTATTTGGATACTACTTTTTCCGGTTGTTGGATTGGCCGACGAGGTCCTACAGAATGGCCAGCCAGCTCCCCAGATTTGATACCTTTGGACTTCAATATTGGATATACGGCAGAGAATAATGAATATTTGTCGAGATATTGACGTGTTCGAAAATGTTCGGCATGAAATATCGGATATGCTGTTCATATATCAGAAAGTTCAAGGCAAGCTTATTACCTCATCTGTATCTGTAGAGTAGGGAGGGTGAGTGTAAGCCCATGCACTTAGGCCACATGTGACCCATAGTACATCCTCCCGAGGAGTTGTCAACCCAGGTCATCGTCCATCCTGTCCTTTCCAGGAAGGTGGACAGGTCGCTGGGAGACATCTCCTTTATATCGGCAGGTGTAGTCCAAATTCGTCGAACACACACTCTCCTATTGACGATAACTCCGGGCACTCGCATTGGACATGCCTGACAGTCTCACCTTCCTGTTCACACCTCCTGCATAGAGGTGTGTCCACTAGCCCCATATTATGGAGGTGTTTCCTTAGTTGATAGTGGACAGTCAGAAATCCTACTGTTAAGCGCAGATTTTTCCTGGTCATCGCCAGATATTTCTTCGGTGTCAGCTTCACAGGGTCGCCCAAGATTGGCAAGATTGCATCATTTGATTCCATCACATCTCTTTAAGGATTGAGCATGGGTGTAACATTTGACTAGTTCCGCAATTGTCGAAGTCATCAGGCCGTGGGCGCCACTGGGTCTTGAAATTCTTAGTCCAGCCGCTTCCGTGGCTAGAGAGTCGGCAATGCGATTACCTTTACTCCTGTCGTGCCCTTTAACCCACCTCAGGATAATGTTATTATCTACCGAGGCTTTGGCTAAATCTTGGTGGCACTCTAGTACTAGCCCTGAGGTAACACGCTGCCTGTTCAAGGCTAATAGTGCTTGCCTGCAGATTGTTATGTTTTTGCCAGAAATTCCTTCCTTGGTTATTTCTTTTGTGGTGATTGAGATACCAGCCAGTTCTGTTTTTTCCCATTCCCCACTTAATCCTTAGGCTTAGTGACCTGGAGTACATTCCACATCCTGAGCCTTCTTCAGTTTTTGAGCCTTCTGTATAAATCCGTATTGCATTTGTAGCATCAGACTCTGTGTTCTGCATAATTTGTATTTTGTAGGATTTATTAAACACAAACCTGGGTTCAATTGCATCACTTGTTGCCTGCAGCAGAGATTGCGCAGTATGCGCTTCCTGCCATAGGCCCAGCCTCAATTGACCCATTCCTACTTCGAAGTTCACACCAGCCGTGCGCAATCGTACCATGGCCATTAACGCAACCTCATTAACGTACATATCCAGAGGGGTCAGACCCGTGATTAATTCCATTGCAGCGGTTGATATTGTTCTCATGGCTCCTGTGATGTTTAAACAAGCCAGTCGCTGTATTTGATATAATTTTTGGATGGCCGTTGCTTGTAGAACTTTCAGTCCCCATGCAATGGCTCCATACGTTAGCATAGGTCTTATTATTGCAGTGTAGATCCAGGTGACCACAAGGGGTGAAAGACCCCATGCGCGTCCCACTGTCCTCCGACATTGCTCATAAGCCACGTATGCTCTTTTTGCTCTACTCTGTAGATGAGAGTTCCATGTTAACTTCTTGTCGAGGATAGTCAAGGTATTTCACCTCTTCAGAGAGGTTCAGCTTGCTTTTGAAGATTTCGGGAAGTTTTAAGCCCGTTAAACTTCTTTTCCTGGTGAAAAGGACCATCTCAGTCTTCTTGGGATTGATCGACAGTGAGCGTATGCAATTGTGTAAAATTAGGGTATCCAGAACTATGTTCCAGAGACGGGTTGATAAGACTCTTCCCTGTGGACATCCCCTCATGACCAGTCCTTTCACTGTGATGTCTTCTACATTAATACGTATTGCTCTAGTAGAGAGCATCTGGAGTATCCATTCTCCTACTACCAGGGGTACATTCCTGAAGTGTAGTTGCTGGGTAATTGTTGGAAAGGTTGTTTTGTCAAACGCTCCCTCGATATATATGAATATACCCAGGGTGGATTCTTTGTTGTCCAATGATCTCTCGATTCTGCCAACCACATGGCGAAGTACCAAACTAGTAGACCTTCCCGGGGTATATGCATGCTGATTTGGATGAAGTGGGTTGTTAACAAGAACTTCATCTCTTATATACCGCTCACATAGCCTCTCCATGGTTTTTAAGAAAAACGATGTGAGACTAATTGGTCGGAATACTTTTGATAGGGTGTAGTCCATCTTACCTGGTTTGGGTATAAATACTACTCTTACTTCTCTCCACTTACTGGGAATATACCTCAGAGCTACAGAGTCTCTGAATATTCCAACCAGGTGCGTCATAAGAGTGTCCAGTCCCCACTGAAGTAGGGCTGGTCTTATACCGTCAGGTCCTGGTGACTTGAAGGGGGAAACGCCCGATTACTACCTCATATTATGTAGTTGAATGTCAATGTATTTAGGCAATTATTATAAGTTTCGCCATCTTGGCGGTGATATTTCAATCCAATAACTTGAACATAGTTCGATGTGGTTGTCGTCTTTCGGGATACAAGTTTAAATACATTTCCGATGTCCTGAAACTGTTTATATCGTATTTGTAATAAATTTGCATTATATTTCTTTTTTCTTCATTAGTGAAAGCTATTTTTCGCCAAAATTTCAATGACTTGTACAATAACAAAATGTCATTGAGAGTAACAAATTGAAAGTCAAATTTAGACACATCAATGTCAAAGCCTATCATAAGGAAAATTAATTGTTTTCAATATCTCCAGTTTTTCGAAAAAAAATGATAACTTATGATATGTGGGAATTTGGAAATGCAATTCTTTTTCGAATCCTCCGAAAACTAAAGCCAGCAAAAAATAAAAACCAGTTTCCGAAATTTCTGTTTTTTCCGGTTATCTCCGGATATACCCGGAATTTCAAAACTTTCTCAGTGGCATATTGTTAGTGAGGTAAATGCGCAACTTTGCTCCAATTCAACCATCTTCGTATCTCCCATAGTTTCCGAGATCCCAATGGTGAGGATCGAATTTGAAACACGCTGTATACCTGAAAAGTTATTCCTATCTGATATGTGATGTTATTAGCCGATATTTGATGAAAATACATAACTTCACCAAGTAATACTTTATTGGGAGATTTTCACCGGACAGTTTACAAAACCGCTCCACGTGTTTCGGTATTCAAACACTTGAGGAAGCTACTGTATAGCGAAACAGGTGTTGCAATTTTGTAAAATATCCAGGGAAAATCTCACAATGGAGTTGAATGATTTCATTTCATCTTTTAGAACTACCACCTTGATTAATGTAATGCTTGCATTATTTTCTATTGCAGTGGTTGAACTTAGAAGATGTGAAACATGGAATGATACATATCAGGACCACTTGGCTCACCCTAACTACAGATTACAACGACTTAAAAGCGGTAATGAATGCATTTTCTCGTAAGAAACAAAGTCAGAAGGAATAATTCTACATTTTTCTCACAGGCTATTTATGAAAGTCAACAGCTTCAACTAGCCTATATGAGTTCCGCCTTGCTTATTGTTTTTATCGATTCAGCTTCAAATTTGAGGGTAAGTCATTATTTCATTATTTTTTTTAATTATACCATATAATCCAAACACTGTAATGCTGTGACATATTTTGAATTTCTCCATTCATAAAAGTAAAAAAGTTTTTATTATCTAACAATATTTGTTGCTTATATATTACGATTTAAAATTTGTGAAAAATTACACCAAAATAAAAAGAGTAGGCAAAGAATAAATTATAAAGCTAACAGAATAGTAATTAGAATGTATCTTGGTACAAGTAAAAGATGATGGAAGTACTACCATTTGTCCCAGCTGATTTGCTTCAGAGTCTTGACGTTCAATTGCATCTTTTATATGAATATAATTATCTGCGCGCAATTTGGCTTGATTGTTTTTGGCTATGTATTTTACTCTTTCAGTTTCTATTCTTGCGTATTCATCTCCCAAATATAGACTAAAAATAGCGCGATATTTAACCAAAAACTTTTCTTCCCCTTCTCTGATCATTATTCTGTATGAATAAAAACTTACAGCAGAGAGTGTTTTTTTCAAGGACAACTCAGTTGTGGGATCGCATTGTGGTATAGTATTTCCAATACCAATTGGAACAGCACAGATAAGGAATTATCGCCACGACATAGGCGTCGGCATATTGTTTTTCAGTGGGAGTTTTTCAGTTACTTATTCTTACAATCATAGCAATGGATCACCCCATGAAAAAGTTATCTCAACTGAATTTTTACACCAAGGGTGATTATGAAAAACTTCGAAATTCAAGTTAGTTGATTTCCGAGTCGAAAACTCTGAAATACAATGAAAACACAAATAATCACACCGAATTCTCGTCAAACATATATTTACAAAATGATAGAGGCCAACAAAATTGCTAAAAAAATCAAAATTCTTCCTCGCTATATTCGGATGAGGTGGAATCATCATCGGAACTTTGCACATAATATTTGTTCTCTTCTTTTATAACGTGGGCCAAACAGTTCTTCCACACATCACTATTACCTACTTCATTCACCACTCGCCTTATATTGTCAAGCACTACAGCATTCAAAGTCGGTGACTGATTACATTTCAGCAAGCTTTCTTCCGTTGTGGCTCAAACTATTTCAATTGGATTGAACACACAATAGTATGGGGGCAAACGTAAGAGAATATGACCACGTGTTTCACACATCGAATCAATAATATATTCTTTCTTGAAATTACGTTGTTTTATGGTCGCCAGTAATACTTTGTTCGTTGGAATCTTCTCGGGTATTTCCATGTCATGATTTCGCATGAAGTCAACAATATTTGCTTTTTTTGTGTTATTGTTTGGTATTGCCGAGAATGATACGAAGCGTTATCCATAACAATAACCGAGTTTGGAGGAATATTTGGGAGAAGCTGTTCACTGAACCAGGTTTCGAATAAAGCCGTAATCATATCTTCGTGGAATTCAGCAGACGAATCTTCAATATTTTTGACCGACAGAAGCAAAGCGTTAGGTACGAAACCACTTTCATTCCCGACATGCAAAATTATAACATGTTTTCCCCTTGAAGAAGATGTGTTCAAAGCCCAATACTTGGTTTCTACCCAGTCATATTTGACAACATCATGGGTGTCAAACCAAGTTTCGTAGGTAGATTATATGTCTGCTGGATTCTCGGTAGCTTTTCATTCGCCTCAAATATTATTGTCGGAGTTGAACAATGCGTGTCGATTCCATTATGACCATCCGATTGTTCAATTTTTCATATTTGAAACCACAAGACAAAAAGACACCTCGTAGAGTTTCTAAAGATTTGTATTTTCATCGGGATAGTCGAGTAATTCATACCAAATCATTTCCAAGGTTGGTACTTATTTTTTTTTGGTATATACCATAAATTGTTCGCCGAATCACATATTTTGTAGCACCATCAACGTTTGCGAATTTTTTATTCCTTTGTTTTCGTTTCATTGCATGGTCAATGACATCCCCTATTTTGATGACTCGAAGAACTGTCGAACGAGATAGTTTCGTTAACTCGCATATTCTATTCACAATAGCATTCTGTGAAGTGTGACAGTTTTCCTTCTTCAAGAATTCATGAATATTTAAAATTACTCGCTGAACTTGAACATGTAAGTCCTCATTTTCAAATTCCAGAGCCCTGTCGATTGACACAGATTCCTAACACGTAATGTTATCATTTGTTTCAAAAGGTCTCCAGAAAGCCATATTGATGAAAGTACCCAAAAACACTAAGAATTTCACAAAAATTGGTTTAAACGATGAGATTGGAGCCTTTGGTGTAAAAGTTGAAAACTTTTTCTAGAGATCAATTACCCTAACACCAAACTGAGGAGGAAATTGATAATGAACCTATAGACAAGGGTTAGCTGTTTATATATCTAAAGTTTTTTGGTCCGATGCGGACTTTGTTTATTAAATGATGATTATCCTGATTGAGTTTTCGGTAATTAACTAGTAGAACCACTAGTTAACAAACAAAGTCCACATCGGACCAAAAAACTTTAGGTATATAAACAGCTTACCCTTGTCTTTAGATTCAGTATCAATTTGCTTCTCCTGAAGATGCTAACCTTGTTAGCGAAACGCGCGTCGAGTGCAAAAATATCGGTTTGGTGTTAGGGTAATTGATCTCTAGAAAAAGTATTCAAGAATCGGTTTGCAAAACCACTCACTATCTCACCTAACCCCACGAACACACGGCACTGATAAAGAAATATTGTGAAATGGACAAAAACTTAGTATTGAGCCAGTCCAGCTAGCCTAGCCTTTATTCCTCAACTACATTTGATAGCACGTTTACTAACTATCTGGGCGACTAGGGGCCACAGGCAAGAAATGTTTATGACTGTACTCTTATTTTTATTGCCGTTCCAATTGGGAATGGATATACTATATGTTGATTAAATATCCATCATGCCCCCCAGCAAAACATCAACGGGTACTGCGGCGCGTCATAAGCTCGATGTATCTCACTGATACGCTGAAGTGAGTTACTTCGGCTTTCGAGGATGATGTCTCTTCGGTCAAAATGCTGTTCTACCAATACAACAGCCACTTCATTTGCCGTTGGTGCATTAAATCTGCCTCTGTGTTCTCTTTGTGGTTTTTTACCTGCATGTATTACGATCTTGAATTACTATGAAGGCGACATTTCATCAATCTTTTATGTATGGGTTCACCTCATGTAACATAACCTGCAATTGTTTGATTAAATTTGGTCTCAAAACAGGTAATTTAGAACATCGAATACTAGCTTCTCTATCATCTTCACCGACGAAATAAATTTGCAGAAACTGTGCATCCTGCACAGGTTCCGGTAATATACTTCCAATTAAATGATAGACTTGTCCTTGTACTTTAAAAGTTGGTGAAAAACCGCCTTCTTTCATTTGTTTTCCACCAAAGGACGTCATTTGAAAACAGGCATTATATTTTCGGATATTATCCATGAAGTGTACATGATTTGGGTGTAAATCATTAACCAGACTGTGAAGTGGTTCAGGCAGTTGTTTAAACGGCTCAAGTTGTACTTTACCGGCGCTACAACACATGCAAGGAGTCTCATCTTTCCACTTCAAGGCGTTACACCACTGATACTTGTACGTCATAGAACCAAAGACTACACTGCTGTCATTTCCATAAACAATATCTGGGTCATACGCCAAACCCGAAAGCAACTTGCTTCTCCATACACGCTGGATTGTATTTTCTCTACACCATGACTGAATCACTCTATGGATATCGGTATTTCTGGCCCGATATAGTGCAGCAGATTGCCTATGTTTTTCAGGGTTTGCAGCCTGGTAGGTGGCGACAGATTGCCTGTGTTTTTCAGGCTGTGCAGCCTGGTAGGTGGCGACAGCTTGCCTCTGTACATCAGGGTTTTTTCTTATATTCAGACACAGCTTCACGGTGGGATTCAACTAGAGTCTGTCCATATTTTTTGTGCGTTTTTTATTTGATTTTTTTGTGTGTAATTAGGAAACTTTGCCCTACGTTTGTTTTTCTTTTTTTCTATCAATGCACAGACTCAGATTGGGACAATAAACTTCTTATTGAATTTTCATCATAATTTATTGAAGATATAACAGGTGAATGTTCACGCTCTAAAACAGGTACCTCCTCTCAACCCTTATCAACTTTAAGTTGCGAAGGTGTATCAATTCCAAAATCATGTTGTTTTTCAGCTACCTCCATACGACGCCGAGTAATTTTCTGTGCTGCTATGGGAAGATGGGCATCAAAATACCCACTGGGCATTTAGATCCAGATTCCGTATATATGAGACCGTTTCTATGAACTTCAAACTTAAATGGGAATATTAATCCTGCTGCTATTAACTCATATCAGCAAAATATTCGTCAGGTGTTACGTAGTTATCACCATTCCTGTCGCGGGTCATAATTGAAAACTTGCTCCAGTCAATAACCACATATCTGACAATTTCTGAACGCACCTCCATCGCTCTACAGGCTGATTCACGGTGGATGGCACATTAGACGTTTCTGGTGAACCAGACAACGGATCACTTTGACAATTTAATGGAGGGCATATTCGGACATTCTCTAGCCAACTAAAATATTTTCGACAATGCGGTGTTGCCGCTTCTATTAGAAAGCAGTAGCAACTTTGATTTTTCAAATGGA